TACCTATAAATTGGATTTAAGAAATGGAAGAGAACGATATTTTGGGCATAATTCAAAATTTTAGATCAATATTACAAATCGTGTTAGATAACTCAAAGATCAGTATAATGTAACAAAAATAAAATATTCTGAATACTTTTCTTTATAATTTTAGTCACAACTGTTCAATCAAAAGAGCTGCGAAAACATAAGTTCATGAATAAATAATATGGAAGAGTTATCTTCATTCAAAAAAAAAGGTAAAATTAAGTAAAAAAAATAAACATTCAAGTAAGAATATGTTAAAATTTAGCATGGTTAAAGTTTGCTTTAAAATTCTAAATATGCAACATGCATTGCGAAACAACAACAAAAGTTTTATATTATATATACTTTTAATTACATCATTATTGTTATCTACTAACAGCCTATTGTTTGGAGGACAAACATGACACTGTTATTGTCACAGGCCAATCTGATTGTATTTTTGTTTCATAATATTTGTCTCTTAGTGTTTGTCTTATAGTGTTTATCTCATAATGTTTATCGTTATAGTGTTTATCTACACTATTATATATTATATATAGATTAATTTGTTTTTAATATAATTAATCAGATAATCAAAGATCTGACAAATTATAGTACTAGGACTTTTTTAGGTTTCATATTTCATCGGAAGGAATTTGGGCTTGGCTGGGTTTCGTATTTCTTTTATTTTAGCAGATCTTCTTTCACTAAGGCTTCGTTAAGTTTCACTTTTATCTTTTCATTATTATATGAAGTAGGTTTTGTAAAAAATTTTTTATAGCACTTGTGACAAACATTCTAAGTGATGTGTGAGTCTTTAAATAGTTTTTTTTGTGTTTATGTGAAAACGCATGAATATGGTATGTTTTGTTACTCTTATGATCATGAAAAATTTTTTTTTGTTATTTTTTTCATGTATTACAAGGTAATCATATTTATTTGAATTAAACTTTGTTAGCCAATCATGACTTGAGAATTATGATTATAAATTGCCAGATAATAGTAATATTGATTTATGCGTTGATAAATATTGTAAATTTGTTCAGTTGAGTAAATAATTTGCTAACATGTGCCACTGCGTGGCATTGTCAGCCAATCATTCATATGACAGGACAAATTTTATAATATTAATCAATACATAATTAATATTATATATAGGGTCTGGAATTGGGCAGGTTAGGTCAGGCCAGGCCGTGCCTTCACAAAACCAAGCTTAAATTAAACCCGAACCCAAAACATCTAATCAGGTTTGGGCCCAGGCTCGTAATTAAATTTAATGGTTTTTGGAGTTTCTAGGCTTTTTTATAAAGCCCAACCTGACCTGGTTTAAACCTGATCTGGCCCAGTTTATTTACGGGGTTAAAAATGCGGGCCAGACTCGACCCAACGCGAATTTTTGCAGTGCAGGTCAGATCAGGCCCTGGGTAGCCTGACCCGATTCCAGTCCCTAATTATATACATATCCAGATAAATTCAGATATAGATAAATGAATGACAAATTGGGCCTCTAAGCCTTAATAATATGTAAATTTATAGTGTTTATTTTTATCAACAGTTTGGTTTTGCTAAAAATAGATTTTTATTAATTTTTTTTTTAGCAAGAATACTAGTGCTAGAGTTTTGTCAAATTAAGTTTGGGGTTTTTTACTTTTGTTAAAAGGATTTGAGTAGTGCTTCTACAGATTGGACTTGAACCAGACTTTAGTCAAGTCTGAGTCTGGTCTGATTTTTAAACTATACTTAAACTTTTATATTCAGACTTTTTAGTTAAGTCTGAGTTTGGTCTAGTTCTGGTTCGAAGTCTGCAGACTAGTCTGAGTTCAAATATTATATATATATTTTTTGGTGATAAACACGTTTACTTAGTATATAAAGTTAGAATTAATTATTAAAATTTTGTGAATCATGAGATTTTCTAGAATTTTATTAATGAAATTTTATAAAATCTTATAATTTGCAAATTTTTATTAATTAATTCTAATTTTATATACTATATAAACTTTGTCAGCACTAAAAAATATATCAGAATGGCATAATCAATTTTATTTTATATGAAATTTGGAGAATAGATATCTAATTTTGACTATTTTAATCAAAAATCCAAAATCATCTATTTATTTTTTAAATGTCAAGCAAAATAAAAATAATTGTACTGTATTGATGTATTTTTTAGTGCTGAACAAGTTTACTTAGTACATAAAGTTAAAATTATTTAGTAAAAGTTGTGATCTATAAGATTTTATAGAATTTTATTAATAAAATTTATAAAATCTTATAAATCACAAATATTTATTAAATAATTCTAACTTTGTGTACTAAGTAAACTTGTTCAGCACTATAAAATACACTAATATGGTATAATTACATTATATTACTTGAAGTTTGAAGAATAAATAGACAAATTTAGATTTTTAATCAAAAAAAATCAAATTTAATATTTTTTCCAACTTTCAAGTATAATAAAAGAAACTCTGCTGATTTAATGTATTTTTTGTACTAACCAAGGTTACTTAGTGCATAAATTTAGAATTAGTTAGTAAATGTTTGTGAATCATAAGATTTTGTAAACTTTTATTAATAGAATTCTATAAAATCTTATAATTTGTAAAATGTTACTAATTAATTCTAACTTAATATACTAAGTAACCCTGTTTAGCAACTAAAAATATATTAAGACAGTATAATTATTTTTATTTTACTTGAAATTTGGAGTAAAGATGTTTAAATTTGACAATTTTGATCAAAAATCCAAAATTGTCTATTTATTTTTCAAACTTCAAGTAAAATAAAAATAATTATATTGTTATAGTGTATTTTTTAGTGCTGAACAAGTTTACTTATTACATAAAGTTAGAATTATTTAATAAATATTTGTGATTTATAAGGTTTTATAAAATTTTATTAATAAAATTCTATAAAAGCTTATAGATTGCAAATTTTTATTAAATAATTCTAATTTTATATACTAAGTAAACTTGTTTAGCACTAAAAAATACATTAATAGAGATAATTATTTTTATTTTTCAATATTTGAAAAATAAATAGACAAATTTAAATTTTTGATCAAAATAGTCAAATTTAGATATCTATTCTCCAAATTTCATGTAAAATAAATTTGACTATGCTGTTCTGATGTATTTTTTTAGTGCTGATGAAGTTTACATAATGCATAAAATTAGAATTAATTAGTGAATTATAAGATTTTATAAAATTTTATTAATAAAATTCTATAAAATCTTATAATTTACAAAATTTTACTAATTAATTCTAACTTCATATACTAAGTAAACATGTTTAGTACCAAAAAATACATGTAATATTTATTTGAACTCAGACTTAGTCTGCAGACTTCGGACCAGACTTAGACTGAACCATTGTTGAGTTTGAGTTTGGTTTGAAGTCTGAAATTAGTAAAATTTAAAGTCTAAGTCTGATCTGATCCTAGACCAGACTCAGACTGGACCAGACCCGAACCAGACCTTAGAGCACTAGATTTGAGGGTTTTGACTTTTGTTAGAAGAATTTGAGGTTTTGACTTTCAACAGAGGTTTTGTTATTTAGAGCTCAGGTTTTGATTTTCGTACATCTAACAATTATAGTGCTTGATTTCTGGGAGTGCTTAATTTTTGAACAATATAGTAAACAGAACTTATTTACTATTCTAGTAACATAGTATAATATATCGAGTTAGTTTGTATTAAAATTGTCATGATTTCTATCGTGAGCTACTGTAAATAATTCTATTATAGAACTTACTCACAATTTCAGTAACTATTTATAAGTGATGAGAATTAGTTAGTTTGTATTATAATAGTCGTAATTTCTATCATAAGTTATTGCAAATAATTTGTTACAAACTTGCTTTCTAGTACTTATAATATGTGATTAAAAATATGTTAGTTTGTATTGAAATTGTTGTGATTCCTATCACCATTAGTTATTTAAAAAATTCTACCACAAAATTATTTGATATTCCATAAGTTAGTTTATATTGTAATTGTTGTGATTCATATAAATACCTCTATTTTGGAAAAATACTCACTATCCCAGTAGCTACAGTAAGTTTTTAATATTAGTTAGGTTGCTTTTATTGTGATTTGCAAAATGATTTGTTTTTAATTACTGCACAATGTGACTTCTGCTGATTGCAATGTCTTGTTAAAACAGAAGATTCTGTAGATTTTAGAAATCTTTCAATTTCAAATAGATATAAGTATAACTGATTGAAAATATAAATTAATAAATAATTAGAATCTCAGAAGTTTTCCTGTTCATCATCACAAGAATCAAGGGTTACATCTTTTACAGAGCACTGTAAATTTGTAGAGCAGATCTATATGATCACCTAATTTTTGTCCAATTGTGCAAATGCATGAAACAATTTTTAGCATATATGACTTTGACTAACAAAAATTAAAAAGTTACATATTCATATTAAATTTTTGTTTAAGAAATTACTTTACAATTTCACAATTGGATGACAATCAGATGATTGATTAGGTGGGCTGTGATCTATACAATTTGATCAAAAATAATAAATTAATATTTATTCATAAGCTACTGAAAAATTCTGTTATATAATTATTTACTATTATAAATAAGTATATATTATTGGGCAAAAATTGTTGCATAATGGCAATTTGCTCAAAAATAGTGTTATCCAGCAATTATGATCATGGCCCCAATTCTTCCCCCCTATAAATATAAATTTAGATCTAAAAAAAGAAATTAGATAAATATAAAATTAGATCTCTTTTTTAAAGCAAAGAAAAAAAAATAAGCATAAAATGTTTCATACTTTTTTAATTACTTTCATTTGCCCTTGAGACTTCTAGCCACTACAAGGCACAATAGGAAATTAAGGCTCTTTTGGTTTCAACATTCACCAAAACATATAAAGTCCAGCTGATCTTAAAAATTCTCAAAAGTGGCTTCAGGAATTTTAATTTGTAATCTACATACTAAAAGCAAGCCTGGTTTTGCGAAAAAGGTCTCTAGAAAAGTTCTTGCAGAAGTCCTGTGAGAGTCACAGTGAATGTCACTGCAAATGTCACTGCAAAGGTCCCTGTGAATGTTCCTGCAAAGTCTTTGGCAAAGGTGATTTGAATTTTATTTCTAAAATTTTTGAGTTTAGTTCTTTTTTTTTAAAAAAAAAATATTTATTAACTTACTTTTTAGAGAATTAAGTACACAGAACCATCTGTAGAATAAATAAAGCAAATTCAGGAAGATGTGAAAGCCCTAGCTACTCATAAAGCAACACAGCAGTAGATCAAGGCTTTAGAGGAGTTTCACTCCAACATTGGGTATGTAGGAAAAACAGAAGAAATTGAATCTAAAGTGGTCTTGAAGACCAATTTTCTAGATTCGCATGTGCTATGAAAAGACGCGATGGTGGAGAATATCATGCAACATCAATAAGAAGTTGCTTGGCGATATCTCAATCAGCACTCTGTTATGGAAAAGCCTGTTGATATCTTGATATACAATGATTCATTAGATATTTACTTATAGTCAAACAAAATAAGCCAATAAATAAAATCAAACAATTTAATTTTACCATTCTTTGCATTTTAGCTCTGTAATTATGTAATATTACATAAGCAATTGACTATATTGTATTAAATTATAATTTTATCATCTAGTTTTTAGTAAAAAATTTATTCTGTATACATTATTAGATTTGAATTGGCCACTTTAGTCGATTCTGAGGCTTGATTCATCTATACAATATAGTATACTTAAGTACGTACAAGTTTATTATCATTGTGGCAATTTTTTTAAATAAATGAACATTAAAGTTTATTAATATATAAAATAATAATAAGCAGATAGATATCGAAAAACTTTAGTAAAACTAATAAATTAAGAATATGATCAGATCTTTCAAAATACAAATGTTAATATTACCCATCCAAAATGTAAGTTATAATAAAAGTCTCAAGAACATTTATAAATTTGTATAATACTTTCTGGGTATATATTAACATATTCTTTCCTATAGTCGTGGTTAACTACACTTAGAGAAGATTGGCTAAATTATAAATAATTTGATAATACAAAGTAATGTCAAATACGGTAGATTGTATGAAATATATAAAAAGAATGATTAGAATTGAACACTAGTATTAACCAAATTTTATAAAATTTTTATAAAACTTTGCAAGCAAGCAAAACTATTAATGGCTTTAGAGAATAGTACAACAACGAGAATGAGCTGATTCTTTAGAATTATATTGATAACTTGGTTGAGAAGGATAGCGATAACTTGATTGAGATGGATAATTATAAACTGGTTCTTCAGTATAACGAAAATAAGTTGTATTCCCATCAGTTACCACTACAGCAGTTGATTCACTATTTCCTTCACGGACTTGAACTCCAGCGAATCCTACACCATCAGAATATCCTTCAACATAATCAATAGTACCAATGTTATTAGAATAATTTCTTCCATAATTTCTTCTAGTCAAAGACATAATGAACGACTTGACTTTACAAAGTTGATATCAAAACTTTAGGTCAAGTAAAGTTTGTTTAAAGAGAGTTTTAAAAAGCAAATGTTGATGGGCAAAGTTTTCATTGTCGCTATTTAAGGATATGAACTCGGAATTTTGTAATGCGTGTATTTCCGCTAGTTGATAAAAATCGTAAAGTTTTTATTTAATCATATTATTTTGTCTTGGTTTTATTTACCCAAGTTCTTTATTTAACATCTTGTACTACTTAATTTGTTATATATTTCTATGTTCATTTAATATACCTTATTGGGCTTTGTTTGTCAATAATCGCATTACTGATGGCGTAACAATAATTCTTAGATTACGTATTATCTGAACAAACCATATTGGATTTTTTTAGAAATTGAGTAGAGAATTTTATTGTTGGAACAGTAGCAATGTCACAGATTTCTTATATCATTGACCAGATAGGAAGTTTTATTATGGGAATTTGAAACAAAAAAAACAATAAAATATTAAAAAAAGAACGTCCCGTAATAGTATCAGACTTACAGTAAAAATATCAAGAGTGACAAACTAGTGTGATAATTTCTAAATTAAATGTGATAGATTAATTCATGTAATTTTGTATAAAGATTTACGGTAAGTTCAACCTTAAATTACGAGATTAAATTGACTGCACTCTATAACAAGTAAATAAAATAGCAAAATATGTGCAAAAAAATAATAATAAAAAAATTAAGGCTAGGATTTGCATAATATTTACTGTATGCGTCACTATGTTAAGATTACAGCTATTTTCAAAAAGGTTTGAACCGTCACAGATCACCATGTATGGGATTCACAATATTTTCCAGATTTCCAGAGTTTTCAAAAGTTTCGTGCGTAGCAATAGACTTAGGAAATGTTAATGTAGTGTTAGTCCGATATTGTAATTTCCTTATGAGTGATGCCAAGGAAAAATGGAACTTTGGTTTTTCAATTATCTTTTGTACCGGATAAATTAATTAGGCAGCACTCATATATGGTCATCATCAACAAAGAATTTAATTTGTCTGTCTGACCAAACTGGCCAATTAGATTCTTTATAGAAATAACTAAAGGAGGCAATTGAAAACACCTAGTTATTGTTAACCGGTCAGGGGGGAGCTTAAAAAAGAAAAAAATGATCAAAATAATCTAAATTATTTTTTACAGCATTATTTGGAAATTTATACTCTTAGCCACAGTTGTATTCGATTTTAATTAAGGTGGTTAAATGTATGCACCGCAAGTTTATGCAAATTATAATTTATATCTATGTGCATAAGTTATATAGCGTCGATATTAAGTTCAAAAGTATACTAAAATGATACAATATATGTCAGTTATTAATCAACCCGATCATAGTAATCTGACGTATAATAATTTTTAATTTTTAATTTTTAATTTTATTTTTATTTTTTAAATAGAAATCTTTCAAAAATGTAACGTAATAGATATTTGTTTCTTCGATTGCTTTATTAGCATAATTGTAGCAAAATGCTTAGTATAATAATATTTTTTTAAAGGGATAGTCTGACATGGTGAAAATTTAAATATTCATTTTTCAGATTTTAATTTGACAACTCATCTAATATTACCAGAATTACGACACACTATATAACTACATACTACGGAAGTTACGGAAGTTACAACTAGCGTTATGGTATTTTTAATATTACTAGAGTTACGACTTTTGTCACTACTGCAATAAAAAAAAATAAAAAATAAAAAAATTTTCAACGTCACTACAATAGTCCATAACCTCAATTCTTTCGTACCACTGCCTATCCAACTTAAATGGCTTAGCCGGCTAAGATGTGCTTATCATAAAAGTTTTATAATTTTTTTCCTAGAAAAATATTTTTAAAGCCTACACGAAAGTATTAATAGTATCGAAAATTTACACAAACTACCCGGCTGTATTATGAGGAGCTTTATATCCTTGCGCTTATATCTCATTTACAAATTTTTTAATTTCTTTAAGCAGTTAATTTTTTAATACCTTCAATAAAATATAAGTAATAACAAGTGCCTATGACTAAATTAGTAAGGTAAAGCCTACTTTTATGTATTAACTTTTTAAATAGATAAAACTTGATATGTCGTACGCTTATTGAAAATTGTTATGTTGACATAAAAAAAAATTTTTTATGATAAAAAAATATGTATTCGTAATAGTCATGATACTGTATAAATTTATTCATATCCTTTTACGTAAAATATGGTCAGATTATTGTTAGGAATGTGTTGATACTGAAATATGAAAATGCCAGAAAAACCCAGTTATTTACCGGTATATGAGTCATTACAATAGTTGATATTTGATTCAGCGTCTTCCATTGACTCAAAAGATTCAAAATGAATAAAATGCCAGTCTAAATCTTATATAAAAATCAATTTCAATTTCATCTAGTAAAAGTAGATTAATATTGATACCTATAGCCTGGGACGTATATCTAAAATCTTGATATTGTGGTTAAGTTGGTGATGATGACGTTGGTTAGTTTTATCTGCTTTTAGAAATGCATTTTTAATTTCAAACTGTTTTTCATTTAGTTCTAAATTTTTATCAAGAATTATTTCCCAATCTTGCAAAGTTTTGTAAACGTCTAATGCAGTTGGTCTGGTATTTGGATTTTCATCCATACATTCGTTTGCAAGCTTTATATAGCAATCAGGGTGTTCCCAATGCAAACTCTGGTCGTAATTCCTTTATTATAACCAGAGCTAAATTGCATTATGGTTCCTGTTTATGAAGGGTGGTTGTCCTGCGGAAATTTCCGACATAATTACACAAAACTGTAAATATCTGAGAATTCTGATATGGCTTTTTTTTCTAAAACTTCTGGTGCTAAGTATGATATTACACCATACTTATTCACCCAGATTCATTTATTTTTCCTAAATCTGAAATTTTTGGTTCTATGCTGTAATTACCAACAGTTTTATTTGGAATCATTACAGCATAGCGAACTTTTATTGTGATTGGCTAATTTTTGTAGATCATCTTGTTATACTAAAGTATTATTAAAGTAA